TCCACTCTCGTGAATGGTGCCCCAAAGGCTTATCTTCTCTCTTGTGAATTTGAGCATTACCGTATTTTTCGGAGTATAAGACGCACCAGAGTATATGAAGCACCAAGGTTTTGAAGAGGCAAATTTTTTTAAAAAATTTTTTTGCCCTCTGCAAACCTCCCAAAAATGGTCTGTTTCTCTTGAAAACGGGCCTGTTCCCCCCCCCCCAGAAAAAGGGCATTAAGAAGCTTATAGAGTGCTCCTGGGGGCTGGGCAAAATTGAGCATTTCTCATTTCTGCCCTCTCTAGCCTCCAGGAGCTCTCTGAAAGTTTCCTACAGGCTCTGCATGGCCATATTGGTGAAGGGGGCGGGGCTTCAAGAGGCAAAAAATCCTGTCTTCAGTGTATAAGACGCACCCAGATATTCAGCCTCTTTTTTGAGGGAAAAAGGTGCGTCTTATACTCCGAAAAATACAGTACATTTTTTTTGCTCCCAATGCTGAGACGGGCATGGCTGCTAGGCCATAGGGGGCTAACTTCTCATATTAAAAAAGGGAAGGAAGGAAGGAAGGAAGGAAGGAAGGAAGGAAGGAAGGAAGGAAGGAAGGAAGAAAGAAAGGAAAGAAAGACAATGCAGCCTAAAGGGCCCACAGGGCATCAAAGCACCCTTTGCATTACTCTCCTGGGCTGTATAAGATTGGCTTTACATTTAAAAAGAGAAGAAAAACCACAAACAGCCCCTCTGGAACATGCCAAAATGTCTCTTTTCATTGCATTCCTGGACAGCTGATCAGTACGTGCACATGCGCACCGGAAACTGGAAGTTCATTTTCTACCAAGCGCATGCCCGTTGGGCAGCTCCTCTTCTGATCGTGGCCCAGACAAGCGTGCATGAAGTGCTCCTTTTTTGGCACTCGGTGCCGAAAATGTTCACTGCCATCACTGCCCTGTACTGTATTTTTGTGTCACATCCATCTGCGCCCGTGTCTTGGGAAGCACGGAGCAGCCTCTGTGTTGTTCACTTGGGATCACATGGCCCAGAAGGAGAAAGATGTCTAGTTGCCCCTCCCACAGGAATGAATCCATGAATTTCCCTGAACTCAAAAAGAAAAAAAAAAAAGGACCATTCAACTGGCATCGTATCAAAATATATTTTATTCTGGACCTCTTTCAGATCTGATTCAAATTACACTTGTCAGAGCAATACAATGCAAAGGGAAACCTGCAACAGAAAAATGTGCCTGGAAAAAGGATTAAGAAAGAGAATTTTAAGGGTGGGTGGGAGGGGGAGAAAATCATTGTGATGTGGAACCAAAGTACATCATAAAAAGGTGTAATTAACATGGGTCCAGGACAGTATAGAACATCTATATCAGTCTTCTTTAGACAATAAATCATGAAAACTGAACGATAAAATCTTTCTGAACAAGTAGAAAAGCAAAGAGAAAAAAAAAACCTCTCACATGGGCTGGTTTTACACTCTGTATATGTTTGTAATTTAACTGGATATATATATCTCTCTCTTTGAAGAAATGGCGTAGACATTTTTTTATCCAGTGCTATAGAGATAGGATCACAAAGTAGACCCCCCCCCCAAAGATTTGTAACTCCAGATTCAACCTCTTTTTTTTTACAACTACGTCAAAAGTCAGGAGAGAAGGAGAAAGCGTCGGCAGGAAGGAAAACCAAAAAACGGAGACCACTTTTGTGTTCTAGATCACTGACCTGTTCACCGCAGCCTGTAGAGAAACAAGATTGCAAAGCATACTAGAGAAGCAGTTAAACGAAACAGAAGATTTTTTCCTGAATTTATCCACAAATGGGAAGAAAGGGGGGAGGGAGGAAAAAAAGAAGAAGAAAGCAGCAGTCCAGGCGATGATTAAAAACCATTCTTTTGTTTGATAGACCTCAACGGAGAACGGAGACCTAACAGTTGTAATGGTTGCTGCACCACTCTTAACAGCATTGACATCTGTGGCTGTGATCATTTATGAGTTTGACCATGAGGCATCTGTCTGCATCTGGAGGAAATACCAGGAAAGCTGTAGGTTTTCCTCTGTAGAGTAGGTTTCAAAGCAGTTCATCTCAAAATAAAACAAAAACAAAACTTTGCTGCTGTCCGAATCTAGAGCTTTCTTTAGGTGTCTTCCTGCTCCCTTCTGTTCAACTTCTGGACATAAATCTTGACATATGGGAAGCCAAGGGAACAAATGTTTGAAAGGAGGCTATTTGAGAGAAGCAGGACAGCAGTGCAGCAGCTGACAGGAGGTGGTAAAGAGTCAAAATGCAATACAGAATAAAATCAACACGATGTGGGGCTCTTATGGTGCGCACTGGTCCTTCAGCATGTTTGCACATCAATCCTTTTAGACATAAAGCTAGGAAAGTTCTGTCACTGCTCATGTGCCACAATGCTGCCCCCTTCCTCCTTTGGGGAAAATTAAGAATCCTTTCCCTTTTTCTAATAGTTTTCTACTTTTCAAATCCACTCCCCAATACTGGGAATTCCAGATGCCCTTGCTTAGCCAATGTTACCTTTTGCTGACTGCTTCTTAGGAAACAAATCTGGGAGCTTCTCCTGCAGCTAAAATTGGAAAAGGGCATCTAAATATCAAAATACACTTTCTCTCTCCTTTGAAATTACATCTTTCATGGAAAGTCTGTAGCTTTAAGGCTGAGATGGCCAACCTATGACACACATGCCAGAGGTGGCACACAAAGTGGTCTTTGTAGGCATTGGAGAGCAGAAAACGGCCTGAAAACAGCCATTTTTCGAGCATGCGCACTGGCCTGCTGGTTTTGGGGATATTGCAATTTTGCAGCTTTCTGAAAACCAATCGACACAACATAAAAATTAAAATTGGTATAAACTTTTGGTCTTTTTCAATCTTACTTAGCTTACTATAAAAATCAACAGTCTTCAATTTGTTATAATTGGATGCAAGGTATTTTACTTTCACCCTACTTCCCAAACCACAGACTGATTTGGTACTAAGTTTCCAGAAAGAGGCTCACAGCTACGGGCCCCATTGTAAATTTAAAATACTTTTTAACAACCAATCAATAAAGTAATGCTTTCGGAGGTAACAATAAAAACCTAAATTAGCCTTCCTTCAGCTGGTGGCCCCAATATTTATTAGAACTACAACTGCCCACTTTTTACTCTAACCATCTAGATGGCTACAAATTGTAGTTATTCAATTTATTGAATAAAGTTATTCCCACAACTTGGTAACCTAGGAATTAGATTGGGAAGGATGCCCTTAGTTTTAACCCAATAACCTAGGAAAATGGAGACAGACATTTTGTCATAACCACATCCTAATGGTCGTTATCTTATTTGACCGTAGTGGAAGTGGATTTTCACCCATTTTTAATACATCGCCCTTGTTGCCCAAAATCATTTTGTCTTAGGTTGTTAACAGATATCCCCCCCATCCCCCGATTAACTTATCCAAAATAAGTTATCCAAAAGTAAAACACCAAACTACTTTAAAACAATCCAACCTTCAACCACTGTAGTAATTGGTAAATATTACCTTCAAAACATTTTCTGGCAGTGTCATTTCAAGAATGAATGTTCATTTTATGCAGGCTGTTAAAACGGCCATGAAGCCCATTTCAATATGTGCTTCAGATTTTTCTCCAGAATAACGCCCATGAAGAAAATTAGCTTTCTTAAGTCTTGGCAAAATTCAATTTCTAGTCATGGTGATTGGGAATTCAGGGAGATGTAGATCAAAGGTCTGCAAACTTGGCAACTTTAAGACTTGTGGACTTAAATTCCGAGAATTCTCCAGCCAGCATGGCTGGCTGGAGAATTCTGGGAGTTGAAGTCCACAAGTCTTAAAGTTGCCAAGTTTGAAGACCTCTGATGTAGATCAATGATCTTAAGGGCAACAGATTGGGGAAGCCAGATCTAGACTTAGAACTAATATCAGGATGGAACCAAAGTATGGGAAAGTGCTATTATTAAAGCTGCATTTCTCAAGTCATATGAATGGAAGAACTCTTATAGGGGGAGACGACTTTGAATGAAGAGAGATGGGACCCCATCATCTTCACCAGTGCTCCCACTTCAACCAGAGTTCTGCTTTTAGCACATGCATGGGCACACAAGTTAAAAACAATGGTGGCAAAATGAATGACAAATTAAATAGCCAAGGAATACTGTGATATATCTCAAAAGTGCCCTGCTAGTGTTGAAAATAAAATAAAAAAAACAAGGCTGAGAGGCCTTACACGTAAGTTAAATCCTGAAATGAGGAATGGCAGCTTTGAGGATTTCCCCATTCTGTTTATTCTGCCTTGGGTATTTGAATTGCTCTTTTTATTGTGCTCATCTTCTCCCCACCCACTTCCATACCACATCCTCAAAAGTTTTGTCTTACTGAAAAGGAGAAGGAAGTCAGTTCACAAGTGGAACAGTACTGTGGCACATGGATGAAAAGACAGCAGTCAACAGTTGGGAGTTCCAAGCTTTTTCAGTTCAATGCCTATCACACAAACAACCACAATACACATCTGGCCCATTTCCCTACCGCAATATCTGTTTGGTTTTTTTAAGCTGTGCCGCTAACTCCTCTCCTCACTTTAACTTCCCCTCCCCAAATGACCCATGCTATGGGATGATAAAGGGCAGGGAAGCTGTGTGGGGGGAGAGAAGAAAAGTGTGGGGGGGAGAGAAGAAAAGATGGCACAGCACAAACAGATCTGATGAAAGAAAGAAAGAAAATCTCCAAAATACCTATCCTATTTCCTATAGAATACTCTTTTTAACAGCAATGGTTTATAATGGCATGAAACATAGAAAGCTTGGGAGGATCTGCAGGCCATGGGAATGAAGTTACTTTTTGCCAGGTGTGGGACTTGGGAATTTGGAATGTGGCTTGTAGAACTCAAGAGTAAGACTGAACATCTGGCCCACAAAAAATAATAATAACAGTCTTACTTGAATTGTTTTAAAAGCAAAATTATGTAGGAAGGAAGGGGGGAATCAGCCCAGGATTTTGGTTGATAACACAGCTGTGATAATGAAGCTTCAATAAAGTCTACATGCTATATCATACTTAAATGGCTAGAATCAAACAAACCAACCAACCAAAAGAACAAGAGCTAAACAGTTGCAAAACCAGAAATATGAACGTTGCTGTGGAAATCTTGCAGCTGTGTCAAAAGACTTCAAACACCATCTCGTTTTTTTATACACTTTTTTTTGAAGGAAGCTGAAACATCAGTTCAAGAGCTTGTATGAAAAACGAACAGACTGTCCATATCAAAATACAAAAGTACTATCAAGAATCACCTCTGACTTTTTTTTAAAAGATTTAAGTTCAGTGCAATTGACATTTGTGTTTGCTAAAGGAAAAGAAAATGCTGTTTAAATATACTCAAAATAAAAATCCCCAAAAAACACATTTGTGTCTATTCCTGGGAGCACAGTTTAAAATTATTGCACAGATTTTTTTTTACATATTTTAAACTTTTAAAAAATTATTTTTAATAATGACAGAGGTCAGCCACAGTCCTGGACCTCCAGCGGTAAAAAGCAAGGTTTTTCAAGTGCCAGATACTCAACAGGTTAAGTTTCTTACATACTATAATTTACAGGGGAAATTATTCTTAACCTCCTAAGCCTATTCTCAAACCTCCTAAGCCTATTCCCAAAATCAATGCAGAGGTATCATTGGATGGAACGACTGTCCTTATAGGTGTAAATCTTCCTTTTTTTTCACTCGCAATCTGTGTGTAACTTTAAAATCACCCATTAAGAATAACCACGATGGTGTATTTACACATCAGCTAAAAATGGTTGTGGTTGCCTTATAATCTCGACTTACTTCAAGATCTGCTTTCTGGTTTGTACACAGAGGTGGCAGACGTCAATGCTGAAAGAATATACTTCACAAAGAGGGGAGAGGATAGGATGCAGTGCTCTGATTTAGCAAAAGCCACAATGGAATATAGAAGATTGAGCTAAGTCTTACAAAGAAAATGGTGTTACTGCAGAAGCAGCGTTTCCTCTCTTAGAATTTAGATCTTAAGCTGGATCTGTGCATTTCCTTGCCTGATGTTAAAAAGAAAGGAGGCATACACTGCAATGATGTATGGAAACACACACATTGTAAAAACAAAACATAACCACCCTCATTGGAAGGAGGGGAAGGAGAATTCAACACGGTGGCTAATTTACAAATAAAGGGAGGGAATCGGTTTATATCTTCAAAAGGAAGAGATCCAAGCTTTGGGTTTATATGCTGCGCTGCCTATTGAAAGAAGCAGCAAAAATGGAAAAGATTAGAAATTTGGTATTTCTGCACTGTGTTGCTGTGACTAAAAAGGAGATCCAAAACGGAGGCTTCGGCAAAGCAAATGAGTACAAAGCATTCCTTTAGGTAAAAAAAAAACATCAGCTGAAACCTTAAAAACCCTGAACAACTCCTCTTTGTTTAGGAAATTGGAAGCTGCAGAAGACACGAAGGATCAAACGAGAATGGAACAGGTCAGCCTTTACACTGAACTTTCACACGCACACATAAAAGTCCCACTGTTGCTATCGCTTGTGATCAAAGCACAAGTTCATGTGAAGGAAAAGCAAGACTTGATAGAAGAAACACAGACATTCCAAAGTAGTGATTGTATGTTTTCTCCTGGAAAAAACTTTTAGCAGCTTAAACTTAAATCTAAATTTGAAGGGTGGTGTGATGTTAAGAGAAAGGAGACAAGCACACAGGAAAAAAATAATAACGGGGGAGCAACAGGGAAAAATTAGTGCAAGACTATTTTCTAGTATGGAAGCTCTATCACTCGGTAGTTAAAGAAGCACGAAGCAAAGAGTTTTGCCAGGGGAGGTTCCTCCTTTGACTTTAAAAAAAATATGAGGAGCCATTCATCACTGGGAACTTTACCAGCCCAGTGGATCTTAACCCCCTGCTGCAAATATTGCTCAGTTCTCCCTCTTTTGTGGAGGGACGAGGAAAGGATTTCCAGTGAAACAGTATCGCGAAGGGAATAAACGACGTGACTTACTTCAGAAAAATCTTTAGCAAAGAGGCTTCAAATATGTTTTTGTAACGAAGAGATTAAAAAGAAAAAGAAAAAAGAAATAAGCGCTTGTCCCACAAAGTCTGAAATACTTTCAACTGGGAATTTGGTTATACCGAGTAAAGATGGGGGTGGGGGGAGATTCGTACAGAGGTTGTAGCAGAAATCTTTATCCAAACTGAGAATGAGGCAAATCCTTTCTCTCTCTCTCGCCATTGCTTCAATTTTCACAGTGCGACTCAAATGGACAATGATCGTGATTTGGAAGCGAAAGAGGCTCCAATTCATCTGTTTTTCTTTAAGCTTGGTGTTGGGATTACCTGAGCTTACCTCCCATCAAGGTCTATCACCTCTTTTCCCAAGATCTGACCACACAAAAACTCACCCCCCCCCCATGCCATTAAAGCTCTCCAAACCAATGATACGATTCCCTACTGTGGGCATCCTATTTCAAGCCTCTCCGTCTTTGTTTAGGTGTCTTCTTGCAATTTTGTACACTCTTAAGATTTGGCAGAAAAGTCTCAAGATGGGGATTGTTGCTTTTTGGAACTGTCATCACCAATAAAAGGACTAAGCGCAGCATCTGAGGAGCCTGTAAACTATTGGATCCGACGAAAAGAATAAAGGAATGTTGACCCTCATTGGTCAGGATGGGTTTTGTTTTCTTCCTCTTTGTCTAAACTGGAAGAAGATCTACAGAACACTTTCCAGATGTCTATAAAGTTAAGGAAGAATTGAAAGAACTGCTGAAAAGGATTCCCCTCCCTCCAATTCTTAATGAAAAGATGCACCACAACCTAGAAAAGAATGCCACATCCTGGCTTCAAGCATTAGTAAACCTTAAGAGCACAACGGGGAAAAGCAATGAACAAATCACTGTTGCAGGGATATATGCAAGTTTGTTTTCCCTACACATGAAAAAATAAAACCCACCTAGTCATTACCTATTGGGGTGGTGGGGAAGGATCAGAAAGGAGGGAAAACAAAAGTTTCATAAAGGACAAAAATAAAGAAAAGAGGACAAAGAAGATAGGGAAAAGAATAAGCCATACACAAGCTTTCCTCAATCTGATACTCTCAAACGGGCTCATTGCATATTTCGGTTCTCTTTCTCTCATGTCCTGTTTTTTTTGTTTTTGTTTTAAATTTCCTCCCACTTCCAATCTTTTTTTTGGGGGTAGGGGAGTGGCTGCAGCAAATTCCAGCACTTGGTGAACAGGCTTCACAAGCTGTGACATCACTCTGTCATCTTCTTCAGGGTATAATTGTTTGCTTTTTTTTAAAAAAGAAAATGTACAGTACATGTATTTAATTATTTCAGGTTTGGCTGTAGTGGACTGGCCATGGTTCAGTTGGGACAATAGCAGTACATGGGTCGTGGGGACAGTCATTTTGGCTATGTACACATTCATAGTCGGTCCATGGCTTCCAACTAGTAGCGCTATTTCCGTAGATCTAGTACGCAAACCTGCAGAGGAGGAGGAAGGGGAAAAAAAGGGGGGGGGGAACGGGTTTCAGAAATTTTATTTATGCATTAGATTTGGACACCAACGACAAAAGAACAGGCATCCTACAATACTAGTGCACTATTATTATTACACTCATTACAATATGTGGGGCCCTGGTATTGGTATTGTGATCCGCCAGACTCGGACGATGAGGAGGTTGGGGAGGAACCTGGGCCAGTCCTGGAGTCTGGGGAAGACTCTGTGTTGGAAACAGAGATAGAGCCAGGGTCGTCCGACATTTCCCAGCTGCCTTCAAAGTCGGAGATAAGTGGGGAAGAAGAACAGATGGGGCCAGTTCCAGATGCGCGCGTGCGCAGAGCTGTCAGGAGAGAACAACTGAGGAATAGTCGCCGACTTGGGAAGAAAGGCACACATGGACGCTGAATGTCCCCTCCCTGGCTGGGGAATAAATAGAAGCAAAAGAGGAGCGGTGGTTGCAGGAGACAACAGTTCGGATTTCTTTCGGAATATCGTGATTCGTGTCTCAGACTGCTTGCCAGGAATTAAGTTATGGTTTTGCTACTGGAACATCTCGGCCTGGCAATTATCCAAGGAACTGATGAGGTCTGTTACTGCAGTTAATCCTTGGGAGGATTATTGCTTGGACTTTTCTGTGTGTGAATGCCATGAATTCATAGTAGCTTAATAACGAAGGGTTTTTCGGGACAAGGAGTCTGTTTCTTGGTTCTGCTAAGGCTGGGTCGAACACTTGATGCTCTCTGAGCTTGGTTGTTTCCTTGCAGACATTTCATTACCCAAACTAGGTAACATCATCAGTGCTAGTAGGGAGTGGGATTTGCTCTCAGTTTATATTCTAGTGTCTTGCCCTGTCAGTGTTGGTGGAGATAGTCCAAAACTCAAGAGTGTGCCTTTTCAGTGGTAGATCTCTAATATCTTTGTAATATCCTCATCAGTAAATTATGCCTACTCCTGCATTTATTGCCTTTGCAACACAAGACAAAATCTTTTTCATGTCTTTTAATGGTATCTTGATTTTTTTTAAAGAGGAATTTTGGTTCTTTGGGATGCATTCAAATGAAGGGGAATTTGCAAACCCTACTACAGGAAGTCCTTGACTTACGGCCATAATTGAACCCAAAATTTATGTTGTTAAGTGAGATACAGTAGAACCTCTGGTCACGACCATAATTCGTTCCATAACTTTGGTCACAACCTGATTTGGACGTGATCCGAACCTAACCAAAATTAATGCAGGGGCCACTGTTGTAAACAAAGGACAGGAAGTTTGACGCTTACAAAAATCCCATGATTTGGTCATGGTCAGAAGCGTTTGTGACCAGAGGTTCTACTCTATTTGTTAAGTGAGTTTTGTCCCACTTTACGACTTTTCTTGCCACAGTGAAGTGAATCACTGCAGTTGTTAAGTGAATCACTGCAGTGGATAAGTTAGTAACATGCTTGTTAAATAAATCTGGCTCCCCCACTGATTTTGCATGAGAGAAGGTCGCAGAAGTTGGTCACATGATCTTGGGACACAGCAACGGTCATAAGCATGAACCAGTTGCCAAGCATCTGAATTTTGATCACATGATCACAGGGCTGCTTACAAAGGTCGCAAGTGTGGGGAAATGGTTATAAGTCACTTTTTTCAGGGCTGCTGTAACTTTGAACAGTCACTAATTGAACTGTTGTTAAGTGGAGGACTACCTGTATTAGTTCTTTTAAGAAAGTACAGCAGGGGATTTTTCTTGAGTGAGGGATTTCGCGAGAAGTTTCCTTCAACCTTTCTCACTTCATCACGGGTCTGCCTCGCTTAAGTGCTATTGGCTTGATTGCTTAATATTTTATTTTATTAGTTTATTTAAAAGTAATAAATAAATTGTAGGAGAAAAATTCTACAAACCCAAGTATACCCTACACTTTATAGAAATAAAGCAGGACCTAAGCATACCCAGCATATTTGGATGCCTGTGTCTGATAAAACGAATCGAGGAGTAGGATCTCATTTTGCTTTACTTACTGAACCATCTGAAGCACTCGCTCCAACTTTGTCTCCTGCTGCATTCCAGCAAACCTCAAAAATGCCTCCTGTCCCCCGATAACTATGCACCAGAGCACCCGTCTAGAAAAACATTAAAACCAAGAGGTTGGGATAGAATGCAATGACATTAAAATGCAATATGAGCGCACCCCCATGTATGCGCCCTGCCTCCGCGCATGTACAACCTCGTGCATTCGTGCCACCCCCTGCGCATGCATGGAAGAGACCTGAAGACCAGCTGGCTGGCGTGACGTGCACACATGTGCATTAGAAATGGGTTGGGGCGACGGCTGACACAGAGAGGGCTCTGCGTGGCACGTATGTCATGGTTATGTATCATTCCATAATGCTTTACAGTACTGTCTGGGCAGTTTACAAACCTCAGTCCATTGCTTCAAACAATCTGGGATCACATTTTACTGACCACGAAACTGGTGAAGTCAACCCTGAGCCTGGTCAGGATAGAACTGCAGGCTATGTGCAGAATTTGCCTGCAATACTGCATTCTAACCACTAGGATTCCTTTCCTGGTTGGCCAGAAAAAGGGCACAGCTTCTTGTGAGAACCACTGACAAGTATAGCAAGAACAACACTCCTAAAAGCCAGCTCCAAAAATCTTTTGCTACTTTAGAACTGAATAAAGGGCAGAGAAAGTACAAAATATTTCTCACATCATTTACAGATGGCTTTGGTTTTTCCGGTGGGTGGTGAGAAGAGATGAAAATTGCAATAGTCAACCTTAAATGTTCAGAATGTGAGAAAAAGACAGGGACTGCCTTCACTGCCTAATCTGTAAAATGATCTGCATTGCCTCAAATCTGAGATATAACAAATTGCTTTTCTTTAATGGGAAGGAATAACAATGTCATCCTTCTGTCTTTCCCACTGAAGCTATCCTTTTAGTATGATCTGATTAAGGCCATGAGAAACCTTTAATAGGTAATAAAAAAATAAGTGGATAAAATTACTAGTGCTCCAGGAGACATACCTGTGTATTCCAGATGTGTACACATTTGTCGAAAGAACCACTGGCCAGATATCTACCATCAGGACTGAAAGCTACACTGTACACAGGTTCTTGATGTTTCGTCAAGGTGTGGATGCAAATTCCTCGGTCTACGTCCCATA